AAAATGTTTACTTGCTGCCTAATATATCCCACCCACTGACAGGTGCCATGATAACCAGATAATCAGTGTTATTCACTTCACCTGTCAGTGCTCATAATGTTATGGCTGATCGGTGTATATTCATCATATGTCAAATGTATGCAAAATCATGTATAAAATAATCAAACTGCAATGGACTCCCCAGAGTTATGCATTACATTTAACAAAACTCTTCAGGTAAAACATTAACTTGAATAAATCTCGGGCTGACCCCTGCTGGTCGGTTGGTCGATTGGTTGGTCGATATGTTCTTGTCCGTTGGTCGGACAGTCGCTGGTGTTACGTTCATAAGGAGAAAGGTGTTTCTTAATCCATTATTTTCAGGGGTGGGAGGGACATGTGCTGTCCTGATGTATACTACTTTTGAGTGATAGGCTATATTGTTAGAAATAACATTGTATTGTATGTACAAATATAATATTCAAATATATTTTACTTAACAAATGTGGTTCTGTTTGAAATTAGTTTAATAAGCGATAAGACCCTATAATGAAGTCAAAACACCCTCATTTTCACAACTTGAACTCGGTTAAGACTGCAGGGCTTAACTTACACAACATTTACTCAGCTCCCAACTAATTGACACAAATGTCAAATAACCAACAAAAATCGCTCCATCAGTCCCCAGCATCAGAGGACTATAGAGCTGAGTGGATAAACACAGCTCTTCTGTACTTGATAGACATGGCATGAAGGTAACGATATGTGAAAAAGAAATATTCATTTGCTTGGCAATATTGTGTAACCTTGATTTGCACCCAGCAGCTACCAGACAGAGTGTTCTCAGTGCACTGTGGCAGATTTATTTATAAATGATATTTAGGTATAATTTCAGTCTTTTTGGTTGACTACAGCCCTAAATAAATCAAAATAAGAAATGTTTTGAATCACATTTAGCCCTGAATCATTAGTTTGGACAACATCATTTTGTAAAACAATAACGCAAAATGATCATATAATTACTATATTAACACTGAATTATCATCCAGCCCTATATGCCATATTAATATAAATGCTTAAGACCTTTGTTTTTTGGCCTTTATTTTTTCTTTACAATGGAACTGTAATTTATACGTTCTCATCTAAATGGATTTGTGTGCAGGGGTTGCTCTGCCCTGCCCTATTTCCCACATGAATGCATCAAACGTATGGGCTGTCAACAAGTCTGATGTACAGAGCTACTCCTTGTCAACACTGGGGGTCTATGATAAGATGCAACAATAACCATTCAAACACAGAGGGGATAACAACTGTCCACCCACAGTCTTGCTTCAGTATCTCACCATCTCGCTATCCCTCATGCTCTCCGCACTGATAGACTAGAGTGTGTTAGCCAAACCAGTAGTTCACTAATGATATCATTCAGGGCTCTAGCTATCATTCACATCCCACACAGTGGCAAGAACAAACAGCAGCTCTGACTGCATCTCATCTCTGCTTCCCTCCAGATAACACACCCTAGAGACCAGAGGCAATTAGGAAAGAGAGGAACACCACTCCTTGTACTTGACTTATCTCGTCTTCCACACCAAAGTTGCTTTGTTTGTGTCTGAAATTTCTAACAGCACAAAAGGTAGAAATTTTCAGATGCTGTCCAAGCTGGGCAGCAGCACTCCAACAGTCATCCACTGCCAAAGCAGTGTTTTAAAAGACAGCATGCGATTCCATTTCTCACAGGTAGCTGAGGAAAGCCGACTGTGGCTTTTGATTGGTCGGAGTGAGAAGCAGAGAGTCAGATAATGGGAAGACTCTGGAGCTTTTACCTCTGAAACTGAACACTGACATATCATGTTTCTGTGCCAAGCTGCAGAAAACCAATTCAGTTAACAGTGACGTGTAAACTCCTCCAAAAGTGCAATGAAGCTATCTGCCAAGATCTACAGAAATGTTTAACTTCATCTGAATATGTCTCTGCTTATTTAATGTACAGTAAACATTCATTCCCAAATTTCCCTATGCTGTGCATTGCAAGCTTGTTAACACGGGGGGGGGGGGGGAATACATATACAGCCAACTTTGGTAGCGCTTGTGGCCCATGGGACTCTAAGATGGCTTCCCCTCACAAATGTTGCCATTGCCTTCTCTGCTTGATTCCCCTAAGCCAGGTCTCCAAGGACCTGTTGGGAGAGAAAGTAATTTCAAAAGCAATTCTTTGCTTGAGGCTACAACGACCTTTTTTGATGGATGAGGGCTCTCAAACAATAAAAAGGTATGGCTGACAGAGGTAATTCTTTATTAGCAGACACGTAATGAGGATTTACTCTCTTCATCTTTCCTCCTGGCCATCACCACTTGAGATGCATTGCTTGGAGCAGTGGCC